ACCTTGGCTTGCGCAAAGCACCTTTATGACCTGAGGCTTCAATTTGTGGACCCTCGCATGGACATCAAGGAGTTCCTCAAAGCTTGTGCGGAAGTGGTCTACGAAGACATTGGCAAGACGGTTTCTCACTACGGTGGTCTCCGAATCACAGCCAGTCAGGCCATCGAGTACGCGGCATGGGGAAAGGCCAAACAGTTGGCATGGGACAGAGGATACGACTCCGAAGGCAAGACATGCTACATCTGCTACTACGATGCCGGGAACTGCGCTTATGCTGGTTTCATGAGAATGCTTTTGACTCCGGAGGAGCGCCAAGAATGCTACAGAGGGTCAGCCTTGCCCAAGGAGGAACTCCTGGGTGACACGGTGGAGCTGGCACTCGGGCTTCTTACAATTGCAATGAGACACCCAAGTCATTTTCCGAATTGGGGTGGCCTTGAGGGAGCAAATGCGTGCGTGAGGGGAATCGAAAGATCATTCTTCCGCTACGCGTCGGCCGAAGCTATTGAGCTGATCACGGTTGACTCCCCGCGCAAGAGGACACCGCCCAAGAAGAATGAACAAGTCGCTGAGATCGTCAACAATATGTCCGCTGACCTCGTGATTGATTTCACAGTGATCGTCGATGGCGATATCTACCCCGTAGAGATTGCGAGAACCGACGAGACACAGGCCGCTGACAACGTCACGGACGATCCAGGGTTCTCCGTTGCTCCACCAATACCTGCACAAGATGTAGATGTGGACGCGCAACCCGAAGAAGAACAAGGTGCAGAAGACCCTGATCCCAGACAGATGGTTCGAGAAGGATTTGTCGCACAGCTTCAGGACTATGTGGGAGTACTCGCTCAGGGCGAAATGTCGGTCGGAAACGATCGCCTCACGTTCTGTATCGCTTGTGGCAGTGATCAACACCATCTGTCCAATTGCACGGAAAATGCTGCGACCCGGGATCTGGTTCTTCGAGGCATCCAGATCATCAAGGAAAGCCTTCTTCGATACCCACGTCGAACACCTCAACAGCAAGATGAGCCAATGGACGTTGACACCACAGACCATGTGAGTGTCGCATCCTCGGACCGACGACCCAAGGCCAAAGCCCGACCGCGACGCGGAGGCGAAGCCGTACGGGGTGATGTGGTCTTGATCCGTTACGAGAACAAACACAATCTCTGCACGGATGTGGAAAACCGTCGGGGCTTACATGATGCTTGCGGAGTGCCGTTGCAGGACATGGGACCAGAGAACAGCCAGCGGGTGGTGGACCTCATTGAGCAGCTTTCGGACCATCGCGACCGACGCCTACCTCAACGAGGAGACCGTCCTAGCTTTGAATATGATGACACTATTCAGGGCTACACCAACCCAGGCTACGAATGCATCGGCGGCGGAAGGCCAATCCGATGCGGGATTCTCGACCTTATCCCAACCAAGGGTGCAAGCTTCATCCACAATCGATGGGACATCGTGAACGAAGTTGTCCTTCGCAACATCAACCGTCATCGCAGAATAAACGCGGATTGGGCGCTATCATGCATTCAATCTGACCTGCGTCACAGAATCGCCAGGCGCCCAGGCTCGGAATGGCTTGACAACAGGTGCCAAGTGGCATTCAGCAGCGGCATTCGATGTGATGAAGGAGGGTGGGTGCTGATCGAGGATTTGGTGAGGCATGAGCAACTATGGACCCATGACAGCAGACGCATCACCGAAGCGGTCTCAAGGACCGATGAGCAACAAAGGAAGAGAGTGTACAATGAAAGACTTCAGCTATTGTTCCAAGGGAACATGCTCGCAGCCACGAGACGCCACAAGGCCAAGATTCGGCTGCAGTTCCTGGGAGTGAGAGTGAAGGACCCCGGCACGGAGACTCTTGGATCCGCAGGCTCGAACATGTTGGTATCGATTCCTGACCAGATCACAGAGATCCAGAACAATGATCGTTGCCGGCACAGCCAGAGGTACCTGAACGTTTGCAACGGCTGGGTGTAGCCATGGGCAGTTCGGGCTACGAGTGGTCACTCTGCGCACTCAGATCCCCAGAACAATTTGCTTCAGTTGGACAAGAACAGGTTCGCAATATCTCCATCTATGACCCTCTTGCAACGTCTTGGAGGCGCATTCCACGCGACAGCATGCCGCAACCTGGATTCCATTGTCACGCAAGGCATCATGCCTGGTTCGGAGGACCCCGACGGGGACTTCGACCATAGGCGCCAATTTCGAGGCAACCAAGGCGGCAGACTCCACAGCTATTGGGGGGTATTTGCACCGTTCGATCACCGGAATGCGACGACCAAGATGCGGGTACATGGACGAGATGCCAAGCACATGCCGCTGGCGGTTCTCCATGTCCCATCTCAGGACCTTGCACGAGAAGATGGACGTATCACAGACAGCGGCATCATGATCGTTGGCCGAACGATACCGTTCCAGTTCGTCAAGGAGGTATGGTTTTGCGTCCCGGATCCTCGAGATACACACTCTTTCGCTCTGGTGGAAAAGATCTACGATGAACGGTTGGAGAAAGAGCTGGTGTTGGACTACAATGCATCACCTTTGCTCCCTGAGTTCGAGAGATACCGAACACCAAGCAAGATCATGGAATTGCTTTGCGAGATGCCTCCTGGACCCCACGACACCAGCAAGGAGCAGATCATTCGAGATCTTACGACTGTCCTGGAGTCCCACAGGGAGAACACGGTTCGGCATCACTACATGGACAAAGGGATCAAGTTTGTCATCAAGAATTGGCGACCCGAAGACCTACGCAGAGACGAGGATGGAAGGAGAATGAGGGTGTGCCCGGCATGCTACAACATCGTTCCAGCATGTTTCTCCCGATGCACGTCCTGCTGGTCACAATTCGTTTCATGCGGATACTACCAAGGTTCTCCACAACGGGAGACTCCTACGGAGATCCCCAGTGACTTTATTGCTCAGACAATGGAAGCCGCGGCAGCAGCAGTGCCAGAGGCGACCGAAGAGGAGCAGGAAGCCATGGAGATAGAGACCGTTGCGGAACCTGAGGAGATCCCGGAACCATCTGTCATCGCGGAGGATGATCCAGAACAGGAACCCGATGAAGAAATGGACACAGAGCCAGGAGAGGACTTTGATGACGCAGTACCAGATGCAGTTGCACAGGAACGACGTCCCGTCCTCATCGCCGGCCAGTCTTTGAACATCGACCCTGAATTACAACTCGCACGTACCGCCATGCAGCCATCCTACTACTCAGGAAAGCGAAATGCCCATTGCATCGACGCCAACATGGCCGCTCTTTCGTATATGGCATTCGTGGTATGCAGAACCATCTACAAGGCTTGGTCAGGATTCGCGAAGTGGGCGACTATGCCGTTATTCCAGATGAAGGAGAATTTCGCACTTGGCCAACGCTATGATGTGCTCGGAAAGTGGGGATCTTTGGCTGCAGTGGACAGGGAAACGGGTGTGAGCAGGGACGTGACTGATGAGGAGATCATTCGCTTTGCCAAGGAGCCTGAGAACCTCAAGCAGTATGATCCCAACGGGACTTACACCTTGAAGCGCTTCCGGACGAACCAGATGCTTTCATTGCTTACACGGGGAGCCAACATGATGGGAATTGGCAGGGACAACTTCAACCCTACTACGTACTTGAAGAGCAACAGGGATGAAGATGTGAAGGCTATGCACTTCTGTTGCCTGAACGTCCTCTGCGAGGTGATTCCGATGGTGACAGGACACCAACAATTCTCCGTGCTACGACCAACGCCAACTGGACCGGTGGACTTCCTGTACATCGACCCTGTCGGTATCCTGCTGACTCATGCCGATCATTCAGTCCAGACCATTGGATTGCTTGTGGATCACAGCGTGCAGATGCCTGCGCACTTCATGGACAGATTGGTCAGATCCAAGAGGCAGCAAAATCCGACAACCAAACGTACGGAAGCCCTGCATCACATATCGGCCGCTGACTATCTCCCTCCAGGTGGTACTTCCATCCTGGACACGCCTGTCACTACGGAGGAACGTGAAAGCGCTTCTTCGGCCAAAGGACCTTCAAAAGGGCGTGAGAGAACCGGAGGTGAGCAGCATGGAGGCTGGAACTCCAACTCCTACTACGACTACACCGCCGGCAAAGACCGAAACAAAGGCAAGGACAAGGGAAAGCAACGGGAACAGTATCCAGAGGAAAACCTCCGGCCCTGGGACCGCGATCCTGCGACCACGCGAAGATGGAGATGAATCAACGCTTGGTCTGCCTCGCCTTTCAGTTCGTGACCTCTGAGCTTCGCCCGTGGAATGCCATCGCGAATGCTTCTTTCTTCGGTGACGCCTGATTCGTTTGCCATTTCAGGGGATCGTTACTGACGTAGATGAGTGTCACAACGTTTCTAATTGGGATGCAAAGCTCTGATTTTCAATGTCAACGTTGCGGCGGAACATTTTCTGTTGTCCTATCGTGCCATCTTCCGGGTGAGCAGCGTCGGAGACGCAACTCATGGGGGGTGCGAACGGACTGCGATGCCTTGTCAAGTTCTAAGGTGTCACTATAAGAGCTGTGAGCAAGACCGTGTAAAGTGCAAGAGAAGGGGGCACGCTACGCGTCCCTCGACTCTAAGGGGGCACGCTACGCGTCCCTCATCTTTACCTTTCTATGTGACCGCCCACGCAACGTTTGGCTCAAGTCAATGCCCATAGCTAAGTGCTATAAGTGTCTTCTATCCTGAGCAATCAGAGCTATCCCGTTGCACAGACGAACCGCCGCCGGCAGTGAGTGCAAAAGGAACGGCCGCCGGTTCTGCCTGCATAGGATTGCACGTGTGGAAGTGTAAGAGAGAGACAGGGTCCAGTCTGTGGAGAGTGCAAGCCAGCCACACCTATATTCATTACAGCTCTGGTGGGGAGAGCAGCAGCACAATCGAGATCAAATCCCCACGCACGGATCGTAGAATTGAAGTGTGCAGAGGTCTGTGAGCCAGCCACATCGTGCAATGAGTGCAATGTGACAGGGCCAGGATCCTACCAGATCCGGAGGCCCGGACTCGAGCGTCACTGTGACAGCTGTTGGCAGCGTCCCTCATGCGTCACTGACTTCCACCAAAAGGCTTGCATTCCTAACCGAATTCCACCTGTGCTTTGTGTTTGGTCGCAGGCTTTTCGATCCCAAGCCTGTGCAGCCCTCGCATCTGATGTGCAGGGATTCTTTGGGCTGTGTACTTCCCCACATCTTCGTGTGGGGATTGTGTTTTAAGTCTTCGTCCCGGCCATCCGCCCGCCCGACCAGCCGGCCACACCCAGTCTGCCCCACCCACCCACTCACTCACTCACTCACTCACTCACTCACGCATGCACCCACTCACTCACTCACTCACTCACGCACGCACTCACTCACTCACTCACGCATGCACCCACTCCCTCACTCCCTCACTCCCTCACTCCCTCACTCCCTCACTCACTCCCTCACTCACCCACCCACGCACGCACGCACGCGCGCACTCACGCACGCACTCACGCGCGCATGCACGCACGCGCAGGCACACCCACGCACGCACACATACTTGCACGTCCCGGTGTTTGGCACGAGTGATAGTGCCAAGATCGAGATGTGGGGATATTTGGTCCTTGAAGTGTTTGTGGTGAGTGCAACAGAAGCTTGCGTTTTAACGTTGGTTTTCTTTTTGTGTGCTGGTTTCGAGGATTGCGGTCTGGTTTGCTGTCTGCAGGGATAGGTGCCGTACTCAGGTGCCGAAGCAGAAGCATGCTGCGGCAGTCGAGCTGCCAGCTTACTTCCAGGATGGGATGTCAAACACAAACGGGGCCTGAGATGTGACGCCCCCCACCCCAACCCCCTCCACAAACATCCAAACAAGGAAGAGGCTCCTCTGCGCGTGAGCAGGAGCCAGGTAGAACAGGTAGAGGTCGTGTCGATCATGCGAGTATTCGAACCTCTCGGGGACTGTTTTTACCATATCCGGAACGACTGGGACACCCGGAACCAGCCTGCAAAACTTAGGAAAGGAGCAGGTTCAGGATTTGAGCGAGTACCCATGTGTCATTCTTGCCCCAAAAGCATCCGCGGAAAGCCGCGTTACTACGTCCCTTCTGGTCGCCTCAAGCCGGGCCTGTTATTGATGATGTTATAGCCTTGAAGTTTTGGCCGGCCAAGAGGGACCATAGTGTTATCACGAAGCCTTAAGCTCCAGAACCCCTAAACCATAAATCCCAACCCGTGCATGTGCCAGTCCAATCTTACCAGGACCCTGGGAAGGTGGCAGTGAAGCTCGTTCCGCCTGGGCCTCAGAGCATTTGCTTCATAAACTTGGGGGTTCCAATTTCGCTGATCCTGGATGTCCCGATACTTGCATGGAGCCGGCCGCCGGCAATACCTACTTCAAAGAGCCAACCGCCACAGATCCCCTCGAGCGTGTCTCTGTTATTGCCTGAATTCTTGCACAGATAAAAGAGCAACAACTTTGCGGGGGTCAAGGGAAATGCATGTTGCTGAGAAACTCCCGTAAGAGCTTATACTTGTGCACCAGTACTCATCAACGTTACCGGGGAGCATAAGGATCGAAGGTATCAGCTGAGCTTGTGCCAACGCCAGCTTGACCTCCGATGCACTCCACCGCCGGAGGTTGGAGCGCGTCATGATTGCCGATGAGGCGCCTGAGATGTTGACTATTGGGTAGCAAAAGCCGCGAACTCGAACCGAAGGCCTAAAACAACACTCAAGTATTGAACTATGTGTTAATCATGGAGAAGAGCAATATGAAACCGCAAAGTGCGAAAGTCTTAGCCATTCGTAGACCGTGGTTCAGGTTGCAGCAGCTAGCACCTGAAAATCTGCATTCAGGTCCGGCAACACGTGTAAACTGCCCGCCGTAAACCTCAGGAGCACTGTGCTATCCCCCTTCCGAAATAACTGAAGGTTGTGAGGGGCGTAGGTCAGATTCTGCGCTTTTCTGCCTTCACTTTGGATCTGTAGGCGCCTCGTGCTCTTCTTCTCGTTGGAGCTGGCGCTGACGGCCTCGACTTACGGAGCGGCACAGCCGTGCGCCGGCTGGAGACCGCTAGCGATGGCCTGGTGAAAGTGGAACTGCCCAGCGGCGACCACGCATGGGTGAGCTCTGACCACCTCCAGCTGGAGGACGGAGGGGGGGACGTCTTTAAGCGCAGCTTTCACTTTTGAACCCCCCCTCCCCTTTAAGCAGGGGTGATGCTGTGCTCCTTAGCACTGTGCTCCTACAGGTAAACCCGCCAACAGAGATTAAGCGTTTTAATCGAGCTTCGAAGGCCCTGTCCGAGCACGACTACGAGGCCACGTCGGCACCCGCATTGCTTGGAATTGGGTTTGGGGATGGGCTAGTCTCGTGTCAGGATTCTGCCTTGCATGGGTGTTCATTGCTTCTAGGGATTGGAATTCAGGCTCACGGCAATTCTTGCGGCGCAGCCGGCAGGACACGCTTGACAGCTCCTGTCCGTGGTTTGCAGAAAAATACACGACGCCTGGGGCCCAGCCTTTGAATCGAGTGCATTACGCCATCCCACGTCCGGTAATCCACTTCGGCCCCAGGCCCATCCCGACACTGCCAAGGGAGAAACTGGCGCCTTGGTTTGAAACTTCCGGTTTCAAATTGAGATAAGTTTTGGGTGGTTTATGTTTGAGGGTCTTTAGTATTCAGGGTTTAGGTTCACGGGTTTGTTGGGGTTTAGCGTCCAGGGTTTGCTAAGGGGGTTTAGGTTAGGGTAAGGGCTTTTGAAACTTTGGGCCTGAACCATCCTGAACCATAAAAGCCTGTAGCGTCGTATACACTGAACCCCAAACCATCTCTAAACTTGAGCTCTGATTCGTCGGTGGCCCTAAACCCCACACGATGAAGCATCCTCAACCCTGAATCCTAACCCGCCCCATTCCTAGCCCTGAGCCGCTTTTAACCACCCCAAGCCCAAAACCCTTAAGCAATCCGGCACCCTAAGCGATCTGGACCCCTGAGCCGTCATGACTTTGCTTTGAACCATCCGAAACTCTAAACCTTTACCCTCCTCTTCTTGAACCCCATGCTCCAAACCCTAAGCCGTCCTCCACCGTAAACCCGAGACAACCCTAAACCCTAAACATCCCTAAACCATCCCGAACCGTAGTGACGAAGCCTCTTAGTGTCGTTTCACTTTGCAGACTCGAACTCATATGCCTCGCCTGGTTTGTCCGAGTGTGAGCGCCGAAACCATCCCGAACTCGGAACCGGAAGCCACCCCGAACCCTAATCCATGCAGAGCAGACGCCATAAACCATCCTAAGCCTTGAACCGTAAACCCTACATTCCCTGAGATATGTCTCCTGAGCCCTAGCCTATACACCTGAGCCATCCTCAAGCTGAAGCCATCCCAAAATCGTGAACCCGCAAAGATCCCGAACCCTGAAACCCTGAGACATACTCGTTGCAGAAACATGGTAACCCGTACACCCTGAACCCTCAACCATCCTAAGCCCTTAACCCTGAACCATCCTGAACCTTCAACCCTAAATCATCCTGAGCCTACGCCTCTAAGCAATCGAAGACCCTAACACTCGCCCGACCTAAGCCGTAAATCTCGAACCTTGAATCATCCGACACCCTGAACCCTCTGTCATCCGGACTCCTGAGCCATCCTAAGCATTAAACCATCTTAAGCCCTTTTCAACCAGTCTAAACCTGAAACCCAAAACCATCTTACACCCAAGCCCCCAACCCCGTCCCCGCCGCACCAAGGCGGAGGCGGAGCGCATCGCCTTCGAGATCGAGAATGGGATTTAAAGGGCCTGTTAGTACTTCAGGCTCATAAATTGACGACAATGCCGCAAAAACTTCTTGTAGCTGTTCTAGTTACTAAGGGCCCCCATATTATCCTGGGGAATGTTCTGAAGTCCTCAACAGCGCCACGATCCTTCCAAACCCTGCATTTCGACAGGGAGTAGAGGATTAAACGAGAGACCTGTCCCTGCGGCATCCCCGGAAACCCAAGGCTCAGGGTTTAGCGATCGGGTTGAGGTATCTGCAGCACTGCACGTCGCTCCTCTGGTGCGTCGCTGTTCTTGTTTGCCACAGGGTCACGTTTGGTTTTGGAAGCCATGTTGAAGCGTTCAGCTACTTAGCGCTGTAGTGATTACGTTTTCCGGTGGTTTAACATGATCAACTATTCCGTTCTTCGTGTACTACTGCTTCTGCTGCTCTTGCAGCAGCTGTTGCTTTCACGTAGTAATAAGAACAATAGTGACACATGGAATGGAATAGGAAAAGTAATGGCGCCGCTGCTGCCACCGCTACTACCCTACTACCATCGCTGCTACACCTGCTGCTGCTACTGCTTCTGCTACTACTACTGCTTACTACAACTACTACCACCACTACTAGCACTGTAGCAGGTGTAGGGTTCGTTGATGGGTTTGGCCCGGCCCCCAACGCCCTAAACCCCGAGCCCTGAACAGGCGAACCCGGATCGTCACCATGGTAGCTTTCTGATCTCCACGACGAGAGCTGCCCCGCTTTTCCTGTTCAAACTATCCAGCGCCCACTGCTACCTATTTGCATGCGTTGCTGGTGCCGCTGAGGGTTTTATCACCCTGTCTTGTTGTTGATGTTGCTGCTGCTGCTGCTGCTTCCACTTCTGCTGCCTCTGCTGCTGCTGCAGCTTCCGCTTCCGCTGCCTCTGCTGCTGCTGCTGCCGCCAGTGATTCTACCCGAAACCCCCATCATATGGCGCATTGCTCAAAGAGGTGTTTCCGGTTACTGCCAGAGCCAGGGGGCCGTGAAACGACGGCCTGAAAACACTTTTGCAGAATTCGATGTGCGGTCCTTCGTGACAGCCGCATGGGACGAGTGAAAGCAGTAGTCCCAACCTCGAACTCCTTGCGCACACTTCACCGGGGGTTCCGACTGCCTCTGATGCTTAATCTGCCACTTCTCTGCTGCATTCAGCCGCTGCCGCTTCCCGCGAAAGCCGCCTCCGCAAATGCGTCCAACTTCGTGCTTCAGCCTGATACCAAGAGTGGCAAGAATCAGCATAGCAGTAGTATGAACAGCGTGCCAGACTTAGTGTTCTAGGGTCTATAGAGTCTAGGCTACGTACTTATATGCCTAGTCTGATAGCCAGGCTCTCGAAGTTTGACAGGTGACTTTGCACAGCAGCTGCTAGCAGATTCCCTTGTAGTGGGAATGCTGGGTAGATCGCAGAACGGAGGCCTTTGATTTCGGAAGGATGTGAGCGTCCGTGAACTAAGAAGCTAAATCACAAGTTTGTTTCAGTGTTTCTGTGTCGTCGGCTGTCGGCCTACACCGTGAGTAGGCAGCCGGCCGCCTTTGAGGGCACGCATGCCCGCATCGGATGGTTCGTTCCAGCCGGAGCTACAAACAGCTCAAAGCGGCTGCTGTTGCTGAGCAAATCCGCCGCGCACGGTTGCACTTCCTGCGGCGCTGCAGGATGATGTGCTTCAGTGTGGGGGATTCAGCGGCGGCATATTCCGCTCGCTTGCCCAGACATGCTGCAAAATGCCCCTGCCGCGACTTCAAAAGCGACGAGCCCAGCACGGGAGGCAATCGGTAGTGCCGACATGTGCCGATAGTGGCAGCATGCGAAAACACACACACACACACACACTTTCTATATCAAAGATGCTATAATACAAACGAAGAAAGTCCCAAAGATACCTTGAAGAGAAATTCCATATCAAGATGTTGCAATAAAATCAAAGAAAATTCCAAAGAATTCTTTAAAGGCAATTTTCATGTCAAGATGCTGCAACAGAAATGAAGAAAGCTCCAAGGAAACTTTGAAGGGAATTTCCATATTAAGATGTTTCACCCAAAACGAAGAAAGCCCCAAGGAAACCTTGAAGATAATTTCTATGTCAAGATGCTGCAGCAAAAACGAAGAAAGCACCAAAAAAAAATTGAAGGGAATTTCCATGACAATAGGCTGCGCTGCGATAAAAACGAAGAAAGTCCCAAGGTAGTCTTGAAGCAAAGTTGCCTATCAAGATGCTGCAGCAGAACCAAGATAGCCTCAAGGAATCTTTGAAGGGAATTTCTATGTTAAGATGCTGCAATAGAAACGAAGAAAGCCCCAAGGAAAATTCGAAAGAAATTTTCATATCAAGATGCTGCATAAAAAATGAAGAAAGCCCCAAAGAAACCTTGAAGGGAATTTCTACGTCAAGATGCTGCAATAGAAACGAAGAAAATCCCAAGGAAACCTTGAAGGGAATTTCTATCTCAAGATGCTGCAAAAAAATAAAGAAAGGTCCAAAGAATCCTTGAACAGAATTTTCATATCAAGGTGCTGCAAGAAAAACGAAGAAAATTCCAAGGAAATCTTGAAGGGAATTTCTAAATCAAGATAAAAACGAAGAAAGGCCCAAGGAAACCTTGAAGGGCAATACCCATTCAAGATTTCGCAACAAAAACGAAGACAGCCTCAAAGAAATCTTGAAGGGAATTTTCATCTCAAGATACTGCAATAGAAACGAAGAAAGTCTCAAGGAAACCTTCAAGAAGGCAATCTCCATATAACAAAAATGAAGAAAGCCCCAAAGAAGTCTTGAAGGGAGTTTCCATATCAAGATACTGCAACAGAAACGATGAAAATCCCAAGGAAATCTTGAAGGCAATCTCCATACAAAAAAAACGAAGAAAATCCCAAAGAAGTCTTGTAGGGAATTTTCACATCAAGATGCTACAACAAAAACGAAGAAAGTCCCAAGGAAACCTTGAAGATAATTTAACATATCCAGATGCTGCAACAAAAATGAAGAAAGACCCAAGGAATCATTGAAGATAATTTCGATATCAAGGTATTGCAAAAGCAACGAAGAAAGCTCAAAGAAACTTGAAAGAAATTTCTATATCCAGATGCTGCAACAGAAACGAAGAAAGCCCTAAGGAAATTTTGAAAGGAATTTCCATGTCAAGATGCTGCAACAAGAGCGAAGAAAGTCATAAAAAAAAAAACCTTGAAGAGAATTTCCATGTCAAGCTAATGCAACGGAAACGAAGAAAGCTCCAAGCAAATCTTGAAGGAAATTTTCATGTCAAGATGCTTCACCAAAAACGAAGAAAATCCCAAAGAAGCCTTGAAGGGAATTTCCATGATAAGATGCTGCGACGAAAACGAAGAAAATCTCTAAGGAAATCTTGAAGATAATTTCTATGTCAGGATGCTGCATCAAAAACGAAGAAAATTCTAAGAAAACCTTGAAAGGAATTTCCATATCAAGATGCTGCAATAAAAAGGAAGAGAGTCCTAAGGAAATCTTGAAGGGAATGTCTCTATCAAGATATTTCATCAAAAATGAAGAAAGTCCCAAGGAACTCTTCAAGAGAATTTTCATGTCAAGATATTGTATCAAAAACGAAGAAATCTCCAAGGAAATTTTGAAGGTAATTTTCAATTCAAGATGCTGCAATCAAAATTAAAAACTCCCAAAGAAATCTTGAAGGCAATATCCATATCAAGATGCTGTAATAAAACCGAAGATAATCTTAAAGAAACCTTGAAGTAAATTTCTTTATCAAGATATTTCATCAAAAATGAAGAAAGTCTTAAGGACACCTTGAAGGCAATTTCTATATCAAGATGCTGCAAAAAGAACGAAGAAAGCCCCAAGGCCATCTTGAAAGCAATTTCTACTTCAAGATGCTGAAATCAAAACGAAGAAAGCCCCAAGGAAAACTTCAAAGAAATTTTCATGTCAAGATGCTGCATAAAAAACGAAGAAAATCTCAAGGAAAGCTTGAAGGGAATTTCTACGTCAAGATGCTGCAATAGAAACTGTGATTTGTCACGGACATGCGTACATGTGCTTCTGTGTCTTGGTTAGGATTCACGCCAACTTTGTCTCACTGCGCAGCTTGACAGCTCAAGACCGACTTTGCGTCAGGTCCAGCAAAAGGTCCGCTAGCACCTGGGGGTTCTAGTGCTGCCTTTCCGCTGAGCGTCAAACTTACGGTTTTAATCTCTGATCATCCTTGCTTTGCCTGCTGCCTTGCTTTTATCTACGATTGGTTGCCTTGGGCTTTGTGACCGAGAGTTGAGTGGAATCCTCCGCTTTTCACAGGTTATCAGCCGTAAGGCCTCCGCATCCGATTGTGGATTGCTGCTTCGCTGCTGCTGCTTGGCACTCGGACCGCCTGATCCAATCAGCGTCCGATCACTACCGTTTTCCTGGCTCAGACCAAGTTCGGAACTTGTGATTGGCCGCGCCACCGAGAGAATGGCGACTCCGATCGGTTCTCCCCGTGTCCCCTCAACTGTCGGTTCTTCACTAGTGACGCCAGTTGCTCGGGATGTCGTGGAGCCCGATGATAGTGCCCACGCATCTCGCTGCACTGCGCTCGCCTCGCACGCTTCGCTCGCTCGCTCTGCTTCGCTGCTTGCCTCGCCGCCTGCTGAGGACGATCAGAGAGCTCAGCACCATGCGCCGCCTTTGCCATGCTCTGCTGCTGCTGCTTTCGCAACGCCTGGCACGATGCCCGCCGGCATGCTGCCTGCTTCTGCCACTGCTCGTGCTTTGCCTTTGTTGCCTGCCTTTTCTGCGTCCGCTGCTCCTGCTGCTTCCGCACCTACTCCTCTTCCGACCGATCTTTCAGCTTGTCCTCTGTCCCTTCGCGGGGATCCAGAGGGCGCTCGGGCCCTTTTTGGGTCCGGGCCGGACGGCCGTGGTCCACCGATATCGGACCCGGCGTCCTTCCGCCCACCGCGCCCCGATTCCTATGGGCCGGTGGCTGGCCGCGGTGGAGCCTCGCTCCCCGATGAGCCCATGAGCGAGCATCCGGGTGCACCCCATGATTCCGTCGCAACGATTACCGCGACGGGTCATGGTGGTGCCGCCCCCGCCATCGATAACGGCGGGTGGCATACCGGACCCTGTGCTGTCAGGGCCCTGGTCGATGAAGCCATTGGGTCGGAAGCATCCGCGCGCATCGCCACCGATATTCTGGCGATCGCGCAGGGTGTGACCAACACCCAGGCCGACCTCGATAGACTGAGGAACGGCGTCTCGGATATCACCGAAGCGCTTGAGAGCAAGATCCGAGACATGTGGGAGCTTCTTCAGGCCGAATTGAGGAAAGAGCGTGAGCTGTTCATGCAGTTTCAGGACTCTTTCCGCGAGAGGCGGATTTCTGATCACGAGACGCTTGAAGATCATTTTGCGAAGCTCACCTCGACGATCAATGATCGACTTATTGAGTTCGATGAGCGGATCCATCAGTTCAACGAAAAGCGTGCTGGATCGCTATCCATGCAGCTTGCCGAGACGATCCGCCACATCAAGCAGTACCCAGACGCGCTGCGGCAGATTCAGATCAATATCTCTAATGCCGAAGCGCGCGTTGCTGCTGTGGAGCAGAATGCTACTCACCGCATCGAAGTCATCAGATCCGAGATGAGTCGCGCTCTCTACGATCATAAGGAGAGTAACCGAGCTCATATCGATCAGCTGACTGCTCGAATCCAGCACCTCGAGAACGCTCATGTCCGCAGAGGCGGTTCTGATAGATCGACGCCTTCGCGTCCAGAACGAACGCAGTTCTTCGATATCAGTGACCATGGTGGGGATATTCCACGCCCTGCGGACCTGCCGCCAGTTCCAGGTGCTCTATTCCCTGGCGGACCGACTACGGCCATTCCGAGGTCTTCCCTGTTGGGTCCGATCGATCATGGCTCTCCGCCGGGATGCAATGCTGCGCCTGCTGAAAAGGCCTCAAAGGTTCACTCTCAGACGAGTGGAATCAATCTCGATGAAATTCTGAGGCGAGCGCAGCAACGAGTCGCTGACGAACAACCTGCCGAAAGTCGTGGGCAAAATAATCCTGTTGAGCCCATCCGACATGATTTTGGTCAAACGTCGGCGTGTTTTTCAGGAAGATCGCCGAATCAGGCCGTTCCTTCCGCAAATGCCGCCGGAGCGACTTCCGGTCAGACTCCGAGCCTCAGGCCATTTCAAGTCGATGATGCTCCTCGCGCTGACATCCGACACGTCCCTGAAGCCCGGAGCTTCGCTCCTGAGCCCAGGTCAAGCCCGACCTTCCCATGCCAAATCTCCTATGACACTCGAACTGTCCCGGCAGGGAAGGGACCGTCACGATGGTATGATGCGATGCTTGGCCGATCGAATCTCATTGGCAACGGTGCTGGCGCACCAATTCTCCATAGTGAGACCGGTACTTTTACCCTTGCGCCGAACACGAGCGTTACTGCGACGCTTCAGCATGATGCGGCCAATGATGCCATGCCCCCGATGCCCACCTTCAGTGCCAGAACGTCCATTCCTGCACCCAGTGCCGCGCCATCCGGATTTGGTGGACCGCCTCCCGCGTATAACGGAGGCGGCGGTTATTCTGGTGGTGATGGCCCCAACGATAATGGGGGTGCATATGGCGGTGGCTTCGGAGGACATGGGCACCACGGGTCGGTTTTGGTCCCGGTGGCGGTGGTGGCCCACCCGACGGCCCACCTGGTGGTCCGCCTGGTGGTGGTGGCCCTCCTGACGGGAGTGGTCCGCCCGATGGCGGCCTTGATCCGCCTAGCATCAGGCCCTCCGGTCGGCCGAGTGGTAACGATACGTTCCAGTGCGAGCGATGCACCGGAACTTACCCGACCATCGTGCGACGGTCGTGCATCTCTTGCCGATTCTCGTGTTGCAACGGATGTTGCCGAGATCCTTTGAGAATCTGTCTCGTGTGTCTTGAGAGACAGACAGGGAATCCACCTGGTCCCAACGATTCGGGATTCGGTGGACCCAAGGGCGATGGATCACTGAGCGAGGCCAAGAAGGCGAAGTGCAAGTCCTTTCGTCTCGATCCTGAGCCGGAGCCTGCTCAGTTGCGACGCTGGATTGTCGATATGAAAGAGCGAGTCGCGAATGCATTCGCCTACGATCCCGGATACGCACTCTCATGGGTTGAGATTCCCGATGGTACGCGATATGAGGATCTCCTCGATGAGTGCAAGTACGGAATGCTTGAAAATGAATGCAACTCTGCGTTCCGTGAGTGCGTCCGATCCATTGCACTGAAGAATAAGATCCAGACCGAGACCGAGCGCATGCATACGATAAACCGGCGACTCGGAAGTAGGCAGATCTTGTGGCTATTGTATGATTTCCTTCGACCACATGTCACCGGCGATTCAACTTTCAAGCTCGTTGACCTGATGAAGACCACGATTGATCGGTTTACTCATGGATCCGAGCAGGAAAGGTTAGAAGCCTTCTCCAATCGGTGGGATCATGTTCTCGCTGGTATCTCAGTCGATCGCCCCGAGGATCCTGTTCTCTGCGCTCTCTTTTATGAGCAGGTGCGTGAGTTCCGCTGTCTCGAGCTCGACATGCAGCTATGGGACAGGGACGTATCCGTACGGAACTACGCATACTTGCGAACCGTCTGCGTCAATGCGATTACAACTTGGCGCCGACGACGCAATCAGGAGAAGATGTACACCGCTACGAGGTCTACTTCTGCGCAGAGACGATACGCTGCACCTGCGCACGGCAGCCCGCGCAGATCTTCGTCCCGAGGTCAAAGGGGGTCAAGATCGCCTGGGCGTCGTGACTCCAGAAAAGGGAGTCCGTACCGAAGGAGCTCGCCGAGGCGCTCGTCACCCAGACGATCCTCCCCGCGACGCGGATCGCCAAGACGATATTCCCGCAGTCCGGGACGAGCAGCTCCCGCACCGACTCGCCCAATGTCGCGATCCCTGCGAGGACGGGAAATCTGCTACGATTTCAAGAAAGGCAGATGCACGCGAGGAAGCGGATGCAAGTTCTCCCATAACCTGAAGGGAAGAAAAGTCTGTCCGGGGCTAACCGGGTCCTTTCCGTTATGGAACCGGGTCCTAGGATTTATGTTGCTGACATGAGTGACATGTAAGAACACGTGTATATAGGACATGTGTTGCTGACATGATGGACATGTAAGAACACGTGTATATAGGACACGTGTTGCTGACATGATGGACATGCAAGAACACGTGTGATGGACATGTAAGAACACGTGTATATAGGACACTTGTTGCTGACATGATGGACATGTCAGAACACGTGTATATAGGACACGTAAAGCAACATGTCTGATGTCGTGCTGAAGGGGGGGGGGCAGGACGGAAAACAAATGCAACTACTGCAGCAACATTGGGCCTACGTCATGTGTGTTCTTGTGGCTCTATGGAAAGAGCGAGATGCTGGACATGTATAAAAAGATGTGTGCTTGTGGCTCAATAGAAAAATCAATGCCTGAAAAACTTGGTTTGTTCGAAATGTGAAAACATGTACATCGAAAAATCAAAGCCATACTGACATAATTGCCTGTCCCAAGTTTTGTAGTTCACATGGAATTTCTTTGTTGCAAGATATTTTTGAAGTTATTTTGAAGATTCGTTTGTGCCGAGCAAACCAAACAAATGCAACTTGGTGTTCTTGTGGCTCAACGAAAACAAGAAGCTTGAGATTTTGTGTTCTGAAACCCTAAAGTCAGCTTTTTGTACGATTCACAACGACTTGAAAATTAGTGTGTGTGTGTTCATGATTAAACATGAAGGGAATCTAAGCTTTCGTAACGTCCAGCTCATGCCCTAAACCCTGGACCCTAAACTGTAATCCCACCCAACCCCCAAACCCGCCCACCCACTCCTGCAGGTAGGTATAGATAAGTAGATAGGCAGGAGGGAGGTACTTGTAGGTCTAGGTGCACCGGCAGGCTTCCAGGTCTCTAGATAGCTAGGTAGGCGGGCATGTAGGTAAGGAGGCATTGATCAGGAAAGAAGTTTAAAGGTAGCAGGCAAAAGTAGTTGTAATTAGGCATTCGCGCAGGCTCTGTCAGGATGTCAGGTCGCCACATCAGAGGTCTTCGGAGCCCCGTGCAGGGGCGTACCCGCACCAAGCCCTTGAAGGGGCTGCGGGATGAACCCCGAATAGGGGTGAGCTTGGACCCCGAACAGGGGTCGTCGGAGCCCCGTACAGGGGTGTGGATGAACCCCGAAAAGGGGTGAGCCTGGACCCCGAACAGGGGTCGTGAGAACCCCGTGCAGGGGTGTGGATGAACCCCGAACAGGGGTGAGCTTGGACCCCGAACAGGGGTCGTTAGAGCCCCGCACAGGGGCGTCCGATGAACCCCGAAAAGGGTGAGCCTGGACCCTGAACAGGGGTCGTGAGAACCCCATGCAGGGGTGTGGATGAACCCCGAACAGGGGTGAGGATGAACCCCGAGCAGGGGTGAGCCGGATCCTCAAAGACAGATGCAGAGAGAAAGAAAGAGAGAGAGAGAGAGAGAGAGAGAGAGACAGCGAAAATAATTAACGAAGCAAGGAAGGAAGCAAGGAAGGAAGGAAGGAAGCAGGGAAGGAAGCAGGGAAGGAAGAAGGAATGATCAAGATGAGGGTGTGACTGTAGATGCGAGGAATGAGCAGGCAGCAAGGAGTGATGTGAGGGAAGGAAGAGGCAGGAAAGTCATGCATGGATTCAGTATCTCTCTGCTCACTTTCCGTCTGTCGCCGGCCAACCAGGCTGAGACAGTCTGCGCATCGAGATCCTCGAAGAGCCCCGGCCTAAGCCACACCAAGACTTGACTGCTGCACCGTCGGTTGCTTCCAAGCTCAACATGTTGGACTGCAGCAGCTTTTCATCTCAAGATTCAAGGAAATCGCACCGTTTTTTCTTGGCGCCACTAGCGCCATGACTGAGCAAGTGTACACCGACGCGGAATGGGCGGCTTGGCGTCGAAGTCAAAACCCTGCAGGAAGCCACCAAAACCCTGCAGGAAGCCACGACGACACAGAGACGGACCCAACGAAGCAAGGCTTCACAAAGGAACTCCGACCCCTTCCGGATGAATGGAAAGTTGAGTGGAAGAAAGCTGAGAAGAACAAGCAGCACTCAGCCAATGACTTCAGCGGTATCAGGCGCCTCTGCAACAGAAGGTTGCAACAGATGTACAACCAATGGAAGAATGAGGTGGAGCTCACGGAGAAGCAGGATTCGGCTATCAACAAGCTCGCCATCTTGACGCATAACAAGGACCGCATGGAAATCGATCGCTTGAGGGAGGTTGAGAAGGAAGCGATTTGGACGAAGAAAATGTACGAGACGAAGATTGCGGACGACAATAAGAAGCACGAGGCCGAACTGGCAGCTGTAAAGAAGAAAGGCGAGGACATGCTGGACGAACTGGAGAACACGCATGAGAGAAACAACCAGGAAAGGGCTAAGAGGCTGTCCATCACGGAAGATACGTACAGGTACAAGTTCGAGGATAGCCAGAAGGAGATGAAGGTACTGACTGCCATGTATGAGAACAAAATCAAAGAGATGAACGCCGAGCACCAGGCACAGATGGCGAAAGAGAAAGAAGAGAACAAGAAAAAGTTCGACGAGAAGGTTTCCAAAGCCCAGACGGACATGACAAACAAGTTCAAGAGCAGGTTGAAGAGGCTCGAGGATGCACAGGTCAAGTACAAAGAGAAAGTCCTCACTGCAACGGGGCTTTGGAGACAGACACTGGCAAGGAAAGAGGATGAGGTCCTGCGGCTCCGGCTACGACTCCGCTTGCAGGAACCCGCGAGCTCGGCGCAGCAAGACAACGAAGAGAAGCTCAAGGACAGTAAGGCTTGGCCCGACAGTTCATTTGTCAGTTGTTCAGTCAGTGAAATGCGCATCTCTGACAGGAGAGTTTGCATCCCACGTCCCCGACGGTCGTTTTCACCCCGACCTCTCCCGCACGCAGCCCGAGCCTTGGTTTCATCACCGCAACCTTGTGCGACCCCAACTTCGCACGTTCCAGGTAGTGACGAGTCCGACTCTGACTTCGATCGGGAAGGAAAGCGATCCCGCTCGCCCAGATCCGACAGGACGGATTATCGCAGTAAGCAGTGAGACGGAATAACGGATTTCATAACGTAGCTGATGGCTCTGATCGTGACATCCCCATGGATTCGAGTCTTAACCAAAACAATCTGACATCTAGTGATTCTGAATCCGCTTACAGTTTCAAGAACACGACGAACTCCATGGTTGATGCGGCGGCACAGGGGCATGGGCCCGGTGGCCGTGTGAAGTTCCTAGAAAGACTTAGGACTTCTGACTGGATGGGTCATGAAGCCAAGAGCAGCATCGGAAAAAGTCGCATGCATCAGGGACCATTCCTGCATGACAACCCCGCCTCCCCCCCCCAAACCACCCACCACGAACCGGTCCCCCAACCAATTCCCGCACCCCTGATTCACACCCACCCACCGTCACCCAGCCACCTAACCGCCCCACCCATCCATCAACCACCCACCGAGAAACCCACCCACCCCCCCCAACCCCCCTGTGCTGGGCGGCCTGTTCGGTGCTTGCACTTAAGTGACAGACACTTCTTAAACACGGTGGGTGGTGATGTCTCTGACACGAAAGGTCAACGTATTCCTCGAGACCTACAAGCAGGACCGACTGCCCCATGGAAGATCCGCAACAGCAAGAGCGACATTGTCGCTCTTGCTGTTGCGGATGTGTGGTGCAGGTCGAAAGCGACACGACCTGCACTAAGGTGCAAGAAGGCCTTGACGGTGGCTACATCATCCCAGAAGGTTCATGGTGCAGGACTGGTAGGTACCCGCTCCTGCACCTTGAACCTACTGGGATGATAAAGGGGACATGCTGACTGGAGGCTGGGAAGTGGCACGTCTTGAGCTCGGCGGTGATGTCTCTAGCACGAAAGGCCTACGTACTCCTCACCTAGAAGCGCGACGGACGAGCACACCAACATGCTCACTGGTCACTGGAGGCTGGGCAGTGCACTTTTAAGCTCGGTGCTTCAGACGGACATGACAGTTTCAGGAACAGTGCGGCATGTGCAGTCCATGGCTGTGTGATGCTGTGAGTGTGCGCCCGTCTGACAGCAGAACTATCTCAAGCTTCCCAAAGGAGTACACTTTTCATAGCCCTTTGCATCATGGTGGAGCTCACGGAGGTGTTGCTCGCTTTGGCAATTGTAGCCATTGGCTACATGTACAGCATACAGCAGAACCAGCAGAACAAGAGAAGGGCCAAGCAGGAGGAGGACAGCGGCAGCGAAGAAGAGATCAGGCCCAGGAGGAGGAAGGCCAGGGCCAGTCTCATGGAGGAGGACAGCGGCAACGGGAGGTCAGACCGCAATAATGACAAAAAGCATACGGCCACAGCACAACCACAAGATCCAATAGAACCAACACAGCAGGAAAGCAAGCCCAAAGATGAAGCTGGCAAGGATCCGCCAAAGGAAAGCAAGCCCAAAGATGAAGCTGGCAAGGATCCGCCAAAGGAAGCCAAGGATTTGGAGCCCGAGAACTTCCAGGAACGTGCAGAGGCCGCGGTCCAACGCATGGTGGCCGCCGTTCACACTATGCACGGATGTTTGCAGAAGGTTCAGAGCTCCGAGACGGAAATTTCCTCGTTAGGGGACAAGATGAAGAACATCCTCTTGGAGATAGCCGAGCTGAGACAGAAGCAAGAGGAGCACGTGTCGGAGCTTGGCAAGCTACCCGACATGGTCGTCGCTCTGGGGTCAGACCTCAAGAGTCTGACCAGCAGAAAAGAGTCCATGGAAGGGAAGCTAGCGGAGATTACGGACTTTTTGGAGAAGTATGAACTAGCAGACCCCAAACATGACACAGATACGACGAGCACAAATGCCGACGCGGAGAGCACGCACCCCGACAGCCAGCCGGAACAGACTCAAGCGGAGGACCAATTTACAGTCTTCTATGCTGAAGGATGGCAGTGGCTGTTCAACAAAAAAATACAGGCATACAGGTGCAAGGGAGGTT